TCCCTCTCTCCCTCCATCCCCGCTCCCTTCCTCCCTTCCTCCGTCCCTCCCCCCCTCCCTCCCTCTCCCTTCTCTCCCTCTCCCTCTCCCTCCGTCCCTCCTCTCCTGGGTCTCACGTCCCCTCACAGGCGTGATCCGCTTCGTCGTGCTCATTGTGGACTGCTCGGAAAGCATGAACCAGAGGGACATGCGGCCAACGCGGCTGGGGGTGGTGCAGCAGGTGGAGAGCTCGGTTGGTAGGAGCATGGCGCATGACGGGAGAACAGGTTGTCGGCAGCTTTCTGGACAACTTCTTTGATCAGAACCCGATTTCTCAAGTCTCTCTCGTCGAGCTGCGTGGAGGGAAGGCAGAGAAGCTAACAGAGCTCTCGGGTAACAGCAGACATCATAAGAATAAGTAAGATACTTGTTTGAACTCTCCTGCCCCTGCCCCTGCCCCTGCCCCTGCCCCTGCCCCTGCCCCTGCCCCTGCCCCTAATCCTCATGCTCCCTCCCAGCTGTCCAAAGCTGTTTCCTTGCCGTGGTGTGTGAAAATTCTTCGCTCAGTGCACATGTCGCAGGTTGGAGGAGCGCCTTGCTGCGCATAGGAGTGCTGGCGCGGGCATGCCCTCCATGCGTGCAGGTTTAGAAGTTGCGCTTCAGCTGCTTGAAATGCAGGCGTCGTATGGGACAAGAGAAGTGAGTTTTGATGAGGGCTGTAGAAACAAAGTTCAAGAATGGAAGAATAGGATGGTTGTTGCTTGAGTGCGAGTATGATGTTTACTTGGTCAGGTTCTTATGATGTACGGATCTTTGAGCTCATGCGACCGGGGGGACATCTTTCAGACTGTAAGACAAGAGTGCCAATCTTCTGATCGTGACTGCTGATGTGCAGGCAGATCGTTTGAAGTCAGCAGGAGTTAAAGTGAATATTGTAAGCTCGTCTCCTCCACTCTTCGCTCCGCCTCTTTGATGTCTTTCTGATCTCTCTCTTCGAATAATCTTTCTTTTTCTGCTTGCTGAATGTTGGGCTCCTCCACTCCAGGTTGGTATGGCCGCTGAGTTGTACGTGGCGAGGGCAGTCAGCAAGAGGACGGGAGGAAGCTACAGGTTGATGGCTTCTTCTCGCTCCCTTCCTCCTCATGATCCGAACCTCCAGTGTGGCGACCCATGCGGTTCAGGTCAGGGACATGGTTCTCAAGCATACGTCGCCGTCGCCGGTGGAGGAAGGAGAGGGCGGGAAGGAGAAGCCAGCGGCAGGCATGTGGGTTGGTTTTCCTCGAAAGAGCTACGGAGCTCTAGGGGGATGGCAGTGTCCTCGCTGCATGGATGTGGTGAAGGAGGTGAATCAACCACAGCAATGGCAAGAATGTTCATCTCTGATTTACTTTCCTGGTTCAGATTCCAGCAGACTGCGGCCTATGCGGCCTGAAGCTCCTTTCCTCCTCCCACTTGGCCCGAAGCTATCACCATCTCTTTCCCGTCCAGTCCTTCCATGAGCTCGAGGACGAGGAGGTATGACCCCCTCGGGGTCCCTTGTCTGCACCGGTCACGCGTTTCTACCCTCAGGGCCCGGCCACATCGACCTCGACATGCGGCGGGTGTGGCGTGCTGCTCGGCAAGGAGTCGAAGCATGTATGCCCGGCGTGCAAGCAGGCGAGGAGCAGTATGTTAGATACGCTTCCCTGACGCAACGGCAGGTGTTCTGCGGCCTCTGCGACGGGTTCATTCACGAGATGCTACATGTCTGCCCGGGGTGCGAGGGCAGAGAAGCAGAGGCGAGCTGAAAAGAAGCGGATGCCAGGGAAGTTGACACAGTCAAGGGGGCAGAACGGGTGGAGACGGGGAGACGGGCAGGCGGACATGAGGGATACGGATGACGGGGAGGAGATGTCAGCCATATCGGGGAAGGCCACCAAAAAGGTTCTTTTTCGCGATTGGGGTTACACCTATGAACTGACCGGATATGTCATTGAGCCTGAAATAAAATCCTTTCGAGGGGTTGATATCCATTTGGTTTCTTTTACTACACGATTTTCCTCGTGACTACTGTCAGCGATATCCAAGAGACTTCGTTCAGCAGGCGTGTGGAATTCGGGATATGGATTTACGTCACTTCCCTGGGGCACGAGAACGCAACAGCACCAGCACCTCCGAACATAGCGATCCCTCCCCCTCCTCTCTCCCTCCACATAGTCATCCTCCCTCCTCCTCGCCCAGACAACCTTGCTGAACCCATGCCTCACTCAAACATCAACTCCTCCCAACCCGTACGCATCATCTACCCGAGGAACAGATCTACCTCAAACCAAGGCAACAGCCCCGGAGGCATCGCCGGGTACTCGTCGCTCTTCAAGCGAGTCACTCCCGACGTCATCCGCTCCCTTACTCACCTCAGCCAGACGGACGCGGCTCGGGAGCTGGTAAGCCCCTTCCCCGTCAACCCCACGCCCACCCACTCCACCCACTCCACCCACCTCTTTTTTCTTGTTCCTCTCCCTATCCTCTGGCCTGCTGGCGACCTGCTTGTGTCCCTCGTCTCTGCCTGTTCCATGCCTGTGGTCCTCACTGCATGTCGCAGGGCATCTCACTCTCCGCCCTCAAGAACGCGTGCAAGGCGCTGGGACTAGGGCGATGGCCTTACGTGCGGAGGAAGCAGCACGTCGCAAAGAGCAAAGGAGCTCTCAGCAACCAGCCACCGCATGCCGGCATGACCTGCTCCGAGCATCAGGACAGCGAGATGGTCCTTCTGTGCTCGGGCGCAGGTGTACAGGAGGCCAGCGCGGAGCTAGAGCAGGAGGGGGCGACGGAGGAGGAAGACATGTGGAGGATCGAGGAGGAGTGGGTGGATTGGTACATGGGGATGGGGCTAGACGAAGACGGCGTGTAGGGAAGGGAAGCACTAAGTGTGAAGAGGCAGTAAATAAAAGGAGAATAAACTGGCAAAAGAAGATTGCGATGAGAATGAACCGTTGGTCAAGATGACCAGTTCGGTGGAGACATGGATTACATTTGGAAGAGAGGGAGGATTGGAGGTTTATGTCTAAACAAACTGCAAACCAAACTTCCTTATCCTGCAAGTACAAGAAATATGAGAGGAGAAAAGTGGAAGAGTTTTCAAGGTGTAGGAGAAGGGCAGGGGAAGGCGAGGAGAGGAGAGGAGAGGAGAGGAGAGGAGGGGAGGGGAGGGGAGGGGAGGGGAGGGGAGAGGAGAGGAGAGGAGAGGAGAGGAGAGGAGAGGAGACCAGGATGGCAGCGATGTTGCCAAGAGAAGCAAGCCAGTCGTTGTCCTCCATCGCCTGCACGCGAGACTGAACGCCACGTTGCCGCAGTGCCACGTCATGCCGCGAGCTCTTCCCGTGCTCTGCTCCCCCTTGCGAGCCCTGAGACACGATCAAGGGAGAGAAGACAAGTGATGCAGAGGACAAGAGAGTAGGGGGGGGGCGAGGAGAGAGGAAGAGGAAGAGGAAGGGGAGGAGAGGAGAGCAGGAGGAGAGGAGAAGGTTCACCTTCAGTCGGATGAAGAAGGCAATGAGAGTTGAAAGAGCCGCGTAGAGGGCGAGAAGGCCAACGCGGTGAAGCTCGAGAGCTTCGACTCGATGTGAACTTCGAACCTGAGGCATCGACGTGTGAAGGGAAATATGATGCACAAGGTTGAACAGAGCAGAAGGGGCGGGAGCAGAAGCAGGAGCAGCAAGAAAGAGACGAAGATCGGCAAGGGAGCAACGAGACAGAAACAAGGTGGAGGGTGAGAGGAGGGGAGTGAGGAGGGAAGGAGAGACGTACCGCCTTGAGCATGTACGGCTGGAGGATAAAGCTGGAAGGCAGGAGGGCAACGAAGACGGTGAAGACGACCTGCATGAACAGAGGTCCCTGCATACCCTTCCCTCTCCCCTGCGTCCCACGTGAGTGCTAGGAAACGAGGAGACAGCAGCTCAAGGCTCACGGAGGAAGAGGCGATGGAGGCGACGAAGACAGAGGCGAGCAAGGAGGAGCTTGCAATGAGAATGTAAAGCACGTATGACTTGGGCATGAACGTTCCTGTTGCTCCATCAGCTGACTCCTCCTCCTCCTCCTCCTCCTCCTCCTCCTCCTCCTAACCTCCGAAGTATAGTCCTGCCATGCCCCCTGAGATTCCAGCCAGCAGCGATCGCGTCATCGGGCTCCTCCTGCTCCACGTCAGCTCGAGCCAGCTCGCTCATCCTCAACCTCGCAGCGTCACTGAGGAAGCAGACGGAGGAAGCAGCTGCTGCCACCAGGCACCACGCCGGCCACGTCCTCCTCCTTCTTGCCGCCATGGTAGAGGCGAAGCCGAGCTTGGACATGTCGGGCTCGATCTAAGAGGGAGAAGAATGAAAGGAGAACAAAGAAGGGAGAGGAGGGGAAGGCTGAGAGAGGAGGGAGGAGGGAGGAGGGAGGAGGGAGGAGGGAGGAGGGAGGGAGGGAGGAGGGAGGAGGGAGGAGGGAGGAGGGAGGAGGGAGGGAGGGAGGAGGATCAACCGCCATTAGCACAGCCCCCAAGCAGAAGCAGGCAGCGAATCCCTTCCTCAACTTGGGAGATGATGGGAAGTGATGAGTCGCGAGACCCGCACAGAGGACAGGAAGGAGACAGAGGCACGTCTGCGCAAGAAGTCAAACGTTTCCTCCTCCCTCTCCTCATCTTCTGCTTCTTCTTCCTTCTTCCTTCTCCTCCCCCTCCTCATCTTCTGCTTCTTCTTCCTTCTCCTCCTCCTCCACCTCCCTCCCTGCCTTCCTCTCTCCCTCCTCTCACCCCTATGAGGAAGGCTTCCGAGGGTCGAGCATGGATTGTTGCCTTCACCATGGCCTCCAAGAGCGAGTGGCGGAGGAAGAAGAGCGCGGCTGTCGGAGACGAAAGTAAGAGGAGCGAGGAAAGCACGAGAGGGAGACAGGAGTGAAAGGCAGCGACGACGTTGAGTGCTGAAAGAGGTCGAAAGGAGGATAAGGAGAGATGGTGAGGAGAGGAGCAGAGAGGAGGAGAAAGGAGCGAGCGAGCGAGCCAAAGAGACAAGGAAGGTTGTGGGAGAGTGAAGAGAGGGGAGCGAGGAGATGGAGGAAGCAGGAAGACCAGAATAAGGGTGGGGGGGAGTAATGAGGAGAGGAGAGGGTTATGAAGAGAAGACCTGCGATGGTTGAGATGTGCAGGATAGCAAAAGTCTTGCTCATCTTCCCGAAAGGAGACGCGACGAGAGAAACCTTCTTTTCACCCTGAAAGACGAGGGGAGGGACGAGGGACGAGGGACGAGGAGCAGGAGCAGGAGCAGGAGCAGGAGCAGGAGCAGGAGCAGGAGCAGGAGCAGGAGCAGGAGCAGGAGCAGGAGCAGCAGCAGGAGCAGGAGCAGGAGCAGGAGCAGACAAGGGAGGTAGAGTGGGGGAGAGGTGAAGCGTCAGAGAGTGGTAGAGGAGGGAGAGGAAGGCGGCACCTCGACTACACTGTTCCTGAGGTAGAGGATGCCGATGTAGATGGGAGTGACGTTGATAGCGAGACATTTCCCAGCAGGC